CACATAACTCCATATTTTGTCCTTAATTTACATGAATGGTCAAAAGATTTTCAAATATAGCGATGTAGTTTTATAAAACATTGGATTGATTGTTAATTCGCAGGAAGAGAATTTCCACGTTTAATTCACTGCTTCTCGAGTTTTATTCATAGCAGAAACATGTGCCATGAATAAGTATTCACAATGGCAACATGATGCATTTTACTTTTATTGTATACATGTTGTAGAGATCGTATTACACAAAGCCACAAAGCCATGCCACATTGTCATGTGCTTGTAGTTTTAATATACTAGACAACTAGGCATAAATAATACGGTATTCTTAAGTATCTGATCAATATATAAAGCCCACATTCCACAAGAGGCATAAACAAAGTATAAACAAACTGAAACAGCTTGTATTAAGCCGCAGTATTATGTAAATTGACCGAAATATTATGTATAAAATTTCATCTCTTATTACGTACAGACGCGCAACCACTACAGCCTAGAACAGCTATGATGCTATATCAAGTTAAAATAGAATATATTTACCTGCTTAAGGCCGTACAAAACTTATTTCGTTTTCTGTCGAACGTACTTCGCGATGTAAGATTCCGCACCATAATTTCGCGGTGCGAGGAAGAAGCTTGTGTTGTTCACAGCGCTCAATAAGTCTTTAGAACGCTTCGATTAAGATATTGTCGATCATCTTTCTCTAAAGGAGCCTTTGCGGTTTCGTAAATACCAACAGACATGGCTAGTATTAGTTTAGAACTTCTGATAAATATTCCGATTGCCATAAAACGCACATGCTATAAAATCGGCGGGTACGCGTATAATAAGAGACGAAATTTACATAATATTTCAGTCAATTTACATAAATACTGCTGCTAGATCAGAAAGATCCAGCAACGTCATAGACCTTTCCGTGCATACTATTAGCCTGAACGGTATGATCGATCAAAAAAATCCAGCCAACGGGAATTGAGGAATTTTTTTGAATTAGCCAATAGGATAGCCTGTATTCGAGCCCCTGATCGCTTTAGCGATCAGAACTCCCCACAGATCGCGCAAAAATCTTGATAGCCAATCAGATGGCTGGAATCTGACTCAGAGCGTGCAAAACTCATGCGTAAGACCGCTTTTCTGCGCGTTCATGTTCGAAGGCCTTGCTACTGGATGATATCTTAGAACTGGACTGTTAAACTTTCAATACAATACACTGCGTGAAGTTTGATAACTGGACCGCTATTTAATTTAACAATTTTCTGCCCAATTTTTACCTTAGTCGCGTGATCGCTCTGATCACCCCTAGATCCGCCCCTGAGGTGGGAAACACCCCCTCCCTTCACAATCCCCAAATCTCCCTTTGTTAGTATCACCCCTAGCGTTCTATACCTGCTGTAGTCTTTGACACTGCCATCATTATCAATTGAACATATTCCCAAGAGTAGAGCTGACAGTCCAGAAGCAACACGCTCCTCCTCCTCGCCACCGTGATTTTGAATTTGGGACGTTAGCTTATCATTGTTAAGGATAGATCTATCATTTCTACACTGTTATCCGACTCTCCGTAGATGTCCAGTATAAAGGATATCCTTAATGGTACGATGTTACTGAGTACGTGTCTCTGGGAACGTCGTAGGGAGTCTTAAAGTCATAAGTCACAACAAAGCTCTGTAACCAAATTATAATGTATCACTACTTTCATTCTTCAACAAGAAAACTTCAAGATGGCAAATAACTAAATCAGTTTTACGAAATATTACGTCGTTTTCGAAAATAACCAGGCTATAAAGTAGACCAGATTGAGGAGAAATAACTTTGTTTGAAAGCTTCGAGTGGAGGAAGGAGAGCAGAATTGATATTTCAAGTAGTAAACAAAGTAACCGGCGGTAAACCTCGTGGCACCCGCCGGAGCTTGGCGGCCGCCGTGTTACTTTGAAAGCTCTCGTTACTCTTACTTGCGGGGTCAAACTGGAAGCACTCTTCTCACATGCCACTGAGGTGAAATTCTGATCAGACAACTGCATATTGCAGGAATCAAAGCTTGGTCAGATAAAAGGATACGTAAGGTATATTTGAAGTGTTTTGTAAAAAGCGCGAGACAGCAATGGAACAAGATGTTAACCAACTACATAACAAACTAAGTAGACCAATCTTCGCCTGCATCGTACCACCTTGAGACAGCATGTTGGTGCATTGGTCAAGAAGAGAGATTGGGGGGTTGCCTAGAAAATACGATCAATACTTCAATATGTACACAATCTCACAACTTGTCAACAAGATGTGTTCGCAAGCTTGTCAACAAGTTGTAACAATGCTGTTATTTTATCAAGTTGCTACAAGGTTGTCATTCACAACTTGTCAACAAGATGTGTTCACAACAGGCTTGTAGCAAGCTTGTCAACAAGTTGTAACAATGCTGTTATTTTATCAAGTTGCTACAAGGTTGTCATTCACAACTTGTCAACAAGATGTGTTCGCATCAGGCATGTAGCAAGCTTGTCAACAAGTTGTAACAATGCTGTTATTATATCAAGTTGCTACAAGGTTGTCACTCACAACTTGTTGACAAATTGTTGAATTGCAGGACGATAACAAGCTGTTGGAACAACTTGTAACAAGTCTGTTGAGCTCAACAACCTTGTAGCAAGTTGGGAACTCAACAACTTGTCAACAAGCTGGGAACAAGCTGTAGGAACACATCCTGTTGACAAGTTGTTGGAACAGCGGTTTGTTATAACTCGTAGGTTTTTACGTGTGTTGTTGCATCCTCGGTCCAAGGGCCTCACCGCTGACACGGCGTTCGGCAACGCAGTGTGAGCCGTGAAGCTCTGGGACCGAGGATGGTGTTGTTGTGTCTCTCTCAAACAGCAGCAGTCTTGACCACTATCTGCTGTCGTGTAACCTTTACTAAACATTACCGGATTTTCAAACCAAACTTCTCCTCGACTTACCAACACTAGTTGCAAGCTGCACTCTGAGTAACTGCTCTTTTTGAACGGCATTATCTTTCAAGCAATGAGACAACGCGATAGACGCACACCAATTGGAGAACGCATTTGCACTGAAACAGAAAGAACAATAGTTGAGCATGGAAAATACTGTTGCGATGTGAAATACACATGACCCGCTGAGAGGGCGGGGGGGGGGGCACTTTGTCCTGGCCTCCAGCTTCAAAATCTAAGACTACCAACCTAAATAGACCAGCACACAATAACTGTCCAGCAGAAACCGTTGTCACTGTAAACAGAACAAATATTAATAACATTTCAAACTTTGAAAGTTACAAGAGATGTTTCTATGAAAACGTACCGTCAGCTGCGCTTGGCAGTAATGTTGAAACGACTTGAGTTTGTCCTTGTTCATTCTTGTACAAGTAACACTAAAAATCATCAAACAACAAAATTATGTAAAGTACAGCACAGAGGTTACCTATAACACTTAGCCTCCATAGCAGGCGTGGCATAACACTGTGGCACAGAGTAAACACGCGATATTCAGTTAAAATGTGTCAAGTGAACGTACTTGAAAACAGTACAGTACAGCACAACGCAGATTGAACGGTTGTTTCTCATTGATCATCGACATTAGAAGCACCACGATGGCCGATCTGAAACAATCCAAAAATTGATTAAACTATTGGGGGTGTTACTACAAACGAAAACCTAAACTAAAGTAACTTTATTTATACTGGATAACCCCATCAGTTCTAAACTATTCTTCCTCTAATTAATCCAGTGTTACTACAGGAGGAAACCTAAACTAAACTAACTTTATTTACACTGTATAGCTCTTAGTTCTAAACTGTTCTTCCTAAAAGGTCCAGTAAGGATCATCTCTTATTGATGCAGTGTTACTACAGGAGGAAACCTAAACTAAACTAACTTTATTTATACTGGATAACTCTATCAGTTCTAAACTGTTCTTCCTAGAGGTCCAGTAAGGATCATCTCTTATTGATCCAGTGTCACTACAGGAGGAAACCTAAACTAAACTAACTTTATTTATACTGGATAGCTCTATCAGTTCTAAACTGTTCTTCCTAGAGGTTCAGTAAGGGTCATCTTTTGATCAAGTGTTACTACAGGAGGAAACCTATACTAAAATAACTTTATTTATACTGGATAGCCATATCAGTTCTAAACTGTTCTTCCTAGAGGTCCAGTAAGGATCATCTCTTATTGTTCCAGTGTTACTACAGGGGGAAACCTAAACTAAACTAACTTTATTTATACTGGATAGCTCTATCAGTTCTAAACTGTTCTTCCTAGAGGTTCAGTAAGAATCATCTTTTATTGATCCAATGTTACTACAGGAGGAAACCTAAACTAAACTAACTTTATTTACACTGTATAGCTCTTAGTTCTAAGCTGTTCTCCCTAAAGGTCTAAAGGTCCAGTAACGCCAAGCAAATGCTACAATTACCTTGGTGGGGTACAGGGCGCATTTACTTGGGAAAAATAATTTTGATTTTCCTGGTTGCCACGAATGACTTCAGAAACTGTGTTGATCGTCTGTAATAAAATAATCACAAAATAATGTATTAAAAAGCGTTTACTTGCAAGCAAACTTAAAACATTCACCTTCCTTGATGGAACTCTGGGTTCAGAATATATGCAAAACTTACTTCAGTGAGAATATCAGATGGTATCCCCGTGGCCATAAGAATACCACATAACAATCTGAGAATACCTAAAACACAAAAATGGTTTAAATATAATTTATACTTATTTATACTGGATGACTCTATCAATTCTATGTTCTTCCTAGAGGTCCAGTAAGGATCATCTCTTATTGATCCAGTGTTACTACAAGAGGAAACCTAAACTAAACTTAACTTTATTTATATAGGATAGTTCTACCAGTTCTGAACTGTTCTTCGTAAACCAATAGGCATTCTTACCACACTGATTCATAATTTTTTGTGCAAAAGCAGTCGTCTGCTGAGGATTATTTGGTGAAACAAGCGTTCTTAATATCTACAAAAAGATGGATTAATGAAACGAAATATAATTACCATCTTCAACAATACTGATTCAATTATTAGTAGACAAAATGCAGGATGAAAATGAGAGGTTCAGACCTTGAGCATAAAATTGATATTGGCCATTTTCTGTGTGGACCAGCCTCGTTCGGTTCCTAAGAAAGAAATTGCCAATAGATGACATTTAGTCATGACAAAGAACGCGAATACAGTGCATACGTAATGTTTCCAGAGACTACAGGTGTAACTCACCAGGAGTCAATGTTGCGTCCAGTTCAAAGAAAGGAGTCATCCTTTGAATGTAGCTAAAACATTTTAAACAAACGTCAGAGTAAAATAGAGCTTAGGAATAAGAAATGAACAATCACGAGTAACACCATTACCTTCCCTCTCGAAAGAAGTTTTGGTTGGAAACATTTGATTTTAACAAACTGAGCATCAACAACAGACAGTCTTCAACAACAATACCTAACAGAGAACATGGAATATGTTATAACATCATTGTTAAACCTGCTTTACAGTCAAACTAATAAAATTAACCTGGCTTTAGCAAAACACAGTTAATCCCTTGAGCGCCAGCGCTCTCCCCTTGACAAGTAAAATCGTCTGGTGCATTAAGCCTGGTTTCCACAATCAAAGTTTCTGTGATCACAGTAGGAATTTTGCATGAGTAAAAATTCTAAGTTTTGAAGGATTTGTAAGAAATGTTTGAGGAAACTGAATCAGCGTTAAACACTAAGTCAGTTTCCTCAAACATTTCTTACAAATCCTTCAAAACTTAGAATTTACCAATGCAAAATTCCTACTGTGATCACAGAAACTTTGATAGTGTAAACCATCCTTTATAACACTCAGTAAGTTTCCTCAAACATTTCTTACAAATTCTTCAAAACTTAGAATTTACCTTTGCAAAATTTGTGATCACAGAAACTTTGACAGTGTAAACTACCGTTTAGACAGAGTAAAATAATAAAGTAGGGTGTACTGTGGTGCAATTAACTGAATGGGTTTAAATGAGTTTTAAAACTGACCTCCGTCACTAAATTCTTCTTCAGCTATGATTTCAATAAGACGATCAAATGCGTTTTCAAATGCCACGATTTTCTATGGAATAAAACAAAGTTATCAATGACAAAAGCTTTGTGTATTTTGCTGCTATGGACAGAATGATTTTATGGTGAATATTAAAACCAACCTGGATGGCTGCGTTTGACTTTGTTAACTGGGTTAGCAGCAGTAAGCCCTGATAAAAAGTACAGGAAATGGTTCAGTTTACAGAGAATGGTTAGCATGGAAGAGATTTTTGATTGCAATGACAAATGAAACAATACTATATTACCTCATTTCTTATTATTTCTCTACTGTCTGAGAGCAAGTCCATTAACCTGGACACACCTGCAAAATATCACTCTTGATATGTTAAAAAGCAGCATGATGGGTAGTGAGAATAACACAGAAAGCTGTGGCACAGAATTTTTTCAGGCGACCTGGCAAAAAATGATCAACTGCACGTGCTCAGCAAGTTTTAAAGTGAGCTGCCATCCAATCAGACGCATGCATCTAGTAACTTGCCGAGCACGCACACAAAAAAAGTGGGTACACTAGTCACAACTCTGTATTGATGTATTTACTCTGTAGACACACTGAAGTTTGACTCAGCCAAAAAGTGTAAACACTGCCACACCATTATTCGTCATCAAAATGCTGACGCCATGGTCCTGGCCAGTGCACTTATGAAAGGCATTCACCCCCCTGATAATATTCAAAATGGTGGGCATCCAGGGGGGGATGCCTCTCATAAGCGCACTGGCTAGGACCATGGCGTCAGCATTCTGATGATGAATCATGGCGTGGCAGCGGCAAAAGTTGTGCAGTGTAAATCGTGAAGAAAAAGTGCGATCATTGTTCACATTCAAAGATGTTTAGGCAGTAAGCATTCTCTCTAAAACACATCTTACCCATTGGGTTAACAAGAACACACTGTTGAAGCTGGTAGCATCGGTTTTTCAAAAGGATTGTTAAAAGTCTAACAGCTGGCCAACGAACATGAAAGTCATATTCCTAAACAGACCAAAAGATTTATATATCACTATTGATTGTTGATCATGCAGAATGTTATTGTCAAATGAAATTATAAATACAAGTTCTAACAATCTTGTACCTCTAGTAAACTGAGCAGGACAGAAATATTCTCCTGATTTTTAATAAAGATTTCTGTGAACTGAACGCCGAGTTCTGCGTCTGATGCCACTTGGCCTTCCCTGCTTACTTCCTCTGAAAGAGAAAAACAATATCATTCTGTTACACACAGATGATCTAGTGTGACTGTTTATGAAGGCAGGGTGGTGTATCATCACTTAGTATTCTGGAGACACAATCCGAGAAGCTGACTTGTTCAGGGGGGCTGACCTTTGTTTTTTGGGGATCAGGTGATGCAGACCTATGGCAGGGGGGGTGATGCTGACTTTTTAAGGGGGGAAGAGGTGATGCAGACCTGTGGCAAGGGGGGGGTGTGATGCTAACTTTTTAAGGGGGGAGGTGATACTGACCTGTGGCAGGGGGGGTGATGGTGACTTTTTTCTGGGGATGTTGCTGACCTTTTCGGGAAAAAGTCATGCAATTTAGTGTGGGAAGGGGGTGATCATTTTGGTGGGGGGAGGGGGTGCAGACCAGCTGAAATTCATCTCTAAACTACCCAATTATGTCCGAATTAATCCAGTACAAGTGTGGAGTATACCTTGCTGTCCCTGTGTCTCGGCACTGGTTATATTGCACAATGCTTCCAAAGCCAAACCCAGGATTTCTGAATCATTTCTACAAAACATCAAAATTCTCACTAACTCATCCATCAACAAACACATTCATTTCAACATGATAATAAAATTATAGAAACTCAGATTAACATAATCATTAAATATTGCTGTACCTATCATTGGTCAAAACATTGCAAAGAATATCCATGGCTTTGGTACCAACATCAAGCTTGTATTTCTAAAGTAATGAACAACATCTTAATACTCCAGCAAATATAATGGAAATAAACTAAACAGAGTGATAGACAGGGGGTCCGCCCCCTGCCCCCCACTTTTCTTCAGGACCAATTTTGTAATTCTTTCCAAACTGCAGAGGACCTGGGGGAGGCGACATGACCTCTTAATGTTTTCAACTAATCTGTGGTTTTCAGATTATCATAAAAAAAACATGTCTAAAAAGCATGAAATAGCATTTCACAGACACAGCCAGAAAATTAGACCCCCCTCCCCCGGTGATCTGACGGTGAGCAAAAGGACTGGGACTACCAACAGAATAGAAATCCAGTTTCGTACCTTTAATCACTTATCACACCCTGATTCTTTTGTGAAACTGTTTGAAAATTTGTGTCTGTGTCTTGCACAGGGAAATGAATGTCTGGGAAATGAATGTCTAATACCATTAATGAGATATTGAGTAATTTTAAAATAGAAATGGATTTCTATTCTACAACTAGTGCCAAGCCTTTTCCGAATTCCGAGATCACCTGGACTTGTTTTGGGATGGCTGTAAAGTATGATTAGTAATTTAGAATATATTAACCTTTGACATGGATTTCAATGCTCGGACGGCATCTCTACGATCTTCAAGCAAGGTAGATGATGAGACTCGGTCGCAGAGCTTTTCCACCTAAAAAATGGTTTGAACTGTTGACATGTATAACCTGACAAGCCAGGGTACACATTTCCATTTAATTCAGTTAACAGGACACACATTTACATTGATTAACCCTGTAAGTGGCAATGCACCCTGATGTGCCTTACTTTATTATTTACTCTGTCTAATGCCAGACGATATTACTTGTCACGGGGAGAGTGCCGCCACTCAATGGGTTGACCAGAGTGCATTTTAAGTGCAATATTCCAAACATCTTCGGCATGAGTTTGGCAAATTACAATGGGTCATTCCAGAAAACATCCATACCTCTCCCACAGAGGAAATTGGAAGTTAACCCCCCTACCCCCTTCGGATGCCCTAACACACTGTTATCAGAAACATTTTTTTCTCCCCTCTCCCTCCGGACGGCAGAAATTTCCTCTGTGGGGGGAGTGTGGATCTTTTCTGGAACAACCCAATACTATCTATAGTTAATATTGGTGTATCTTCAGTGTAGAGTTTACATGGAATGCACCCTGGTGGGTTGATCTGGACAAACGTGGACAAAGAAAAGATGTTTGTCTCATCAAAATTCATCTGCATTTAAATGCAGCAAGCAGAGAGAACATCTGTCAATATGAACTATTATAGTAAAGTCTACAAAAATACAGCATCAGAACAACAATCAGTTAAATATCAACTCCCAGAACAATTGCCAGTATATATCACACTGTTCTAGCTAGTTCATCTGGATAGTCTTGGGTTAACACTAAGACAGATCATCTGGGATATAAATCAGGCTATCTGCCTCTATCTATTGATATAATTTGAATATATTACATTTATTATAACCAGACTTTTATAGCCTTTGAAAGCTAGTCAAATCGCTATAAATTGCTCATACTTAAGTGTATTTCTTTTAACTACAAATACATAACCAAATAACAAAGCTATTATATAACATTTTAACGAACAACTCTGCTTAGTCTCAGACTCTCAGCACAAAACAGGAGACATTTCGTGCAATATTTCAACGAAAATAAGAGCAACTACACAAGAGCATACCGTTTCAGAGCCTGATTGTTCAGTATCTTCATTCTGTGCTCCAAGAACAGATTTAAAACCTCGCAAAAGTTCCATATTTTAATGATTTTCTTGAGATTTTTTCAACTTTCACAATATATACAACATGGCGCCTGTGAGCATGCGCGCAACGTGGCATTGCAGAACAGCTTAGCAACCATCATTGAACTAACATAGGTTTTGTCCAGGTCATGTATAGATCAGTGGTCTACGATAAAGGGAACAGGGGTTCCAGGTTTCTCCGCCCCCCCCCAACCCTGTGTATATTACGGACTGGACGAAGTTGAGTTCGTCTGATATGATGAAAAATTCGATTGTGAAATTTACATTTTACTTTGTCGTTAGAGCTCGACGACTGGCCTCTGTAGCTCAGTTGGTTAGAGCACTGCACCGGAATCGCTGGGCCGCAGGTTCAATTCCTGCCACAGAGCCATAGTTGCATTTTTCAGTCACAGTAGGCTTCAGACGTTTGCACTATGAGGAAAACGCCACACAAGATATTTTCCCATGCAGAAGCATTGAGAGATCGCGCTATTTTAAGCAAACCGGATATTTTGTCTTGTGTTTAAGCTATAATGGATGATCTGTCAGAATATAGATGATGTGTCTTCACGAATGATTTATCCCTGCTCTAAATCGCGTCAATTATGCCCGAGGTTAATAGCTAAAAAACGCAAAACGAAACACGTTCAAGTAGTAACGGTTGGTTGACAATTGAGACTAAAGTCCTGTTCCTTTCTCCAGTATTTTTGTACCAGTTCATTTCAATTTCTCGTTTTTGTATTCTTATGCGATAATGTCGAACTACAACTAAACTAAATTTACAAATCATTCTCTAAATTCACAGGTCAATTAGATTGCTTAAAAATATTTAACGCCAATTTAACACTATGCAACTTTTGCCTAAAACTGTCGCATTCAACCTACTTTAGTTGCGCTCTACACTCATAGGGTGAGTTGTGTGTTTGATTTACACAGTACAACTCAAGTTGTAAGCAGGTTGCATGCCACAGGTTTAGGCAAAACTTGTGTTGTGTAAATCGGTCTTAATAAATTAATCTCATGTTGTTTTAAAATGGTAAAAAAATCACCCTATGGAGTATGGGCCCTAGGCAATGCTTCCGTAATATTCAGAACGGTACCACTGCCGGTAGCGAAGAATATAAGAAGCAATCTTTATAGGAGATACAACTACCTTAAAATAAAAATATAAACACAACTTCGACGTTTCGAGTAAAGGCCCTTTGTATATCAGCTGTTAATGGCAGTCAAGGTTTATGCCTTATTCTTTTATTATATGTGTGTTTTATACATCATTTTATCAATCTTAGTGAAACAACAGTAAGTTTCACCGATGGAGATACATTGTATGCGTCAAGATACAGTATCTCTGATGGAGTTTCTTTCTTCCTTAAACAATGATGTTCGAAATAGTAACTCTCTAGCTATATTTAAAACACATTTTTAGTGATTTACGTATTTTTAGAATTGTTTTTAGAATTGTCTACGAACGTATTTTAGTCTTAGTGATAGATTTATTTTTATTTAATTAACTTTTGTAATTTTTATTGTATTCACTTTTATGATATCGTACCAGATCCCTACTGAAAATCGCCCTGGCGAGTAGATCACCTGAATAAATATTCATCATCAAATATTCATCATCAGGAACTTCATAGCCTGCGAACAGGCTCTCAACTTGAGAGCCTGTTCGCAGGCTAGGAACTTCACTAACTTTCAGACGCCTTCGCTCAAAAGTTGAAGTCCCTTCCGATTGAGACACAACTGCCTGAAAACCATAGGCAGACGGCCCGACGAATAGCCTGCTTGCAGCCCCCACCCGAAAATTTGAAACGGAAAATTAAGGTTTCCTTTAAAAATTTCCGGCTTCCTTTGAACGAAATTTCGGGCAGCGAGCAGGCTTCCCGACGAAGTGCCTTCGCTTGAAACGTCGAAGTTCTCCTTGTATTTTTCAGGGAGTTATATTCTTCGCAATCAACAGCTTTCTTGATATCGTCGTTAGACTCGTTACCTACACTGGCATCGACTGTTCCAAGTTCTTTTTATATTCTTCGAGTAGTTGTATCACGTATAACAGGGTTCGTAGTCTCCAAGACCAAAACAATTCAAAGACTTCCAAAGATTTTTTCTGCCTATTTTCAAAGACTTTTCAAAGACCTTTGAGAACAATCAGCTGTCCAAAAATTGTGAGTATAAGCACCATTCTTACACAGTAATTAGTCCAGTCAAATCACATCCTAAAATGCGCCTTTTCGTCGATATTTGCGAAAATTTTGCTTCAATCAATCTAATTTATTACCTAGGAAATCGTATGATCAAATACTCACTAAAGAATTTAAAGACTTTTAAAGACTTTCTTCGCTTTTTCACACAATTCAAAGACTTTTCAAAGACCTTAAAGACCTGCATTCAAATTTAAAGTCTTTCAAGGATTTCAAAGACCGCTACGAACCCTGATCACGTATAAAGATCGATGTCTACGCTTCTATACCATGTTACTCCGTTATGTCGATATTATTTTGGGGCCCGCACATTTCATCGTATTTCTCGATTTGTATTGTGGAGTGTTTTATATGATATACAGCTTCGACAATTTGCGTCGCTTCTGCCAAAATCCTCTGGGATTCACTTGGATTTTCTGAAATATGAAAAAATACGTCAACATGCTGTCAGTATCCTTTACTGGTTACTACACAAGGAAAGCTATAACGTACCAATATCCACATGAGCAGAAAGCGCCGCAGTTCCCACAGTCAATGACCAAACATGAAGATCATGTAACGCCGTCACTCCTTCTATTTTTTCCAGCCTCTCTTTGATCTCGTCCAAATCAATACCTTTCGGAGTGCCTGAAGAAATATCACTCAGTTAACTTTATACTGGATAGCTCTATCAGTTCTAAACTAAGGATCATCTCTTATTAATCCAGTGTTACTACAGAAGGAAACTTCACTAAACTAACTTTTTTATTTATACTGGATAGCTCTATCAGTTCTAAACTGTTCTCCCTAGAGGTCCAGTAAGGATCATCTCGTATTGATCCAGTGTTACTACAGGAGGAAACCTAAACTAAACTAACTTTATTTATACTGGATAGCTCTATCAGTTCTAAACTGTTCTCCCTAGAGGTCTAGTAAGGATCATGTCTTATTGATCCAGTGTTACTACACGAGGAAACCTAAACTAAACTAACTTTATTTATACTGGATAGCTCTATCAGTTCTAAACTGTTCTCCCTAGAGGTCCAGTAAGGGTCATCTCTTATTGATCCAGTGTTACTACAGGAAGAAACCTAAACTAAACTAACTTTATTTATACTGGATAGCCCTATCAGTTCTAAATTGTTCTTTCTAGAGGTCCAGTAAGTATCATCTCTTGTTGATCCAGTGTTACTACAGGAGGAAACCTAAACGAAACAAACTTTATTTATACTGGACAGCTCTATCAGTTCTAAACTTTCTCCGAAGAGGTCCAGTGAGAGTCATCTTTGACTGGTCCTCTAGGGAGAAACAAACATGAAACAAAAATTTTAACATGAAACAAAAATTTGCGATGAAAAGATTTACCTTCCATTAGAACATGCAAAGCGTCCCTCAACACTGTGATTGTCGTAAATAAGACGATGATGGAAAACAAGAACGTACAAATTGGATCTGCGATAGACCAATTCGGCTAGAATAAAAGAAAATTTTCAGTAGTATATGGATTATCCGCCTGGACAAAAGAAAGATAGTTCGTATTCTGTGTTACCTTAATCTTGATTATTAAAGCAGCAATAAAAACACCCAAGCTCTGTAAAAGATCTCCAATCACGTGAATAAATGCAGCTCGAACATTCACGTTTTCATCTGTGGCCTGTTCTTTAACGCTGGGTGTCGCTGAGATCGTTCTCTTGCGATGGGAGTGACCATGTGAGCCGTGATCATGACCCCCACCATGCGAATGACCATGACCTAACACTAAACCCATCCTACAGAAAATAATCTTTTTTTAAACCTTACAAAAACACTTATACACTTATCCGGACCCATAGTCATGCTTCATAAGACCGATTTTTTCCTAACTACAATATCTGCTAAGAGAAGAGGTCCGTGACTTGCACTGTCTACGCATCAGTACCCAATAGAAATTGAAATGTTCAGGGCAAGTCCAGTTTTTATTCCTTTTACATGTTGAGTTGAATATTTTTCTGTAGTTCAGACACAAACCAGAGAAGCTCTAAGGCTCCGATTACACAAGAAGTCAAACAGGAATGAAAAGTGTCAACATATCTACATGAGACCGGTACGAAAACCACAAAATTCTCAATTTATTCCCCTTGCCAGGCAATTTTTTTCAGATGGCTTTTGTTAGCGTGTGTTGTTCCAATGTCAATGTTACAGCCGAGATCGGTCTGAAATGTATTTGTGTTTACATTCATCCCAGTCTAAATTCATGCCGGCTCGGTTGAGCAGGCGGAATGATTTGAGATTGGTCTGAGCTTTTTTCATCTCGGTCTCATGTAAACATCTACTACCCTATAAAGCCAGTTTGCCACTTCAACCGAAACGTAGTGTATTTCTTTCCTGGGGGCGGTTGTTCAAAAGCCGGTTAGACTAACCCTGGGTTAACACAAATCTACAAATTAAATTTTCCAACAGCTCACCAATTGAGTTGAATATGTTTTTCCAGAAATCCTTCCTGGTTCAATAGAGATTTTCTTTTCTAAAGTTTTGAAACGAATGATCATACAGAAATACATAAACAAAACAGCAGGTTAAATTTAACCCAGGATTAGCGCTAATCGGGCTTTGAACAACCGGCCCCAGAGCACTAGTGTTGAACTAATGATTACGACACAAAAGAAAATGCTGCGATACGTTACGGTTGAAGTTTGGAAGCTTAAAGGGTATTGGCAACAAAAAATTTTATTGATTTTATTGCTTTATCTGAAGGAGCATGAAAAAATAAGCCGATTGGCCGTTTACTGCTCTATTCTATCTCATCTGGTTCCGAAGTTATACGCAAAAATGTGCAAAATATAAATTGCTGATTCAGCACATTCTGTGACGTCATAAACTGGGTAAGTATGTTTATTGAATAGTAAACTAAAGCATAGCTGAGTTATTATTGGCTCAAATCAAATGAAATTTTGCATACAGATAGTACATGATGAGATGCATGGGAAAAATACTTCTAATTTCGTTGTCAAGGCAACACAGTCGTTCCCAGGCCTCTTACACTGATTTTGAATAACTAGTTGCATTTATCTATGTGTATGTCATTTTCGAATTATTATCATGCAAGTAAACTTTTGGCATGCATAGGTATCATACACATACTTCTGATATTATTTTATTCTTATCAGTACCTTGAATAAAGCTGTTTCATAAAATTGGCGCAAGGGGCCTGGAAACGACATTGTTACCTTGGCAACAAAATTAGAAGTGTTTTTCCATGCGTCTCATCATGTACAATCAGTATGCAAAATTTCATTTGATTTGGGCCCATAATAACTGAGCTATGCTTCAGTGTAGTATTCAATAAACATACTTACCCAGCTAATGACGTCACACGTTGTGCTGAATCAGCAATTTATATTTTCACATTTTTGCGTATAACTTCGGAACTAGATGAGATAGAATAGAGCATTAAACGGCCAATCGGCTTATTTTTTCATGCTCTTTCAGATGAAGCAATAAGATAGATGAAGCAATTTTTGTTGCCAATACCCTTTAAGGTTACCAAATTTCACTCATCACAAACATAGCAAAGGATTGGAGGCGAGGTCATAAATTACTTCTCACTTACACTATATTCACACCAACACCACAAGCAGCAACAATCAACATGATATCTGCATTGACATGGTGTTCACCAGTAATGATCCTTTCAACTGCTTGATGCACAAGAACACCAGTCAATACCCAGATGATCAGCACTGACAATATAGCACCCATCACCTCTATAAATAAAATAGGTACAGTGAAGACAGTAGTTCTGAAACACACATATTTTGTGGTGGGTTATTACTGGCTGGTGGTTAACCAGTTGTCATAAGATTAAGGCCAAACGAAAATGATGAACATTGGCAGCAAGGCATTGGTACAGGGCCGCAGGGCACATTTTGTTAGAAAGGTTAAGCTTCGCGTTATACGTCAAACGGCAAACGCCAGGCAAAGAAAAATTTTACGGTATCAGGCAATAAATTAAAGAGTAAATGAACTTGCTGTTTTAAAACTGAAATAAATAATTATTCTTTCGACGCAAGAAAGAAAATATGAAACGCAAACGTTCAACAAAAATTTTTCCAAGAAAGTTCGAAGCCGTTCCCGGAAACGTGAATCTTAAACTCCCTATTGTTACAGGGGACATTTGACCACCATCAGATATGTTATGATGCCAAGCCTTGATATGTCCTTGCTTCTCAATAAATGAACTCACCAGCTCTATGCCAGCCATAAGATAGTTTTGATGTGGACGGTCGTGTTGCAAACCAAATTGCCAACAATGAAATGAGAAAACTGGCGAAATCAGAAAGAAGATGGGCAGCATCTGTGATGATTGCCAGACTGTTGGCCAAGTAACCTCCTATAGAATGAGAAAAAGCACGTAAAATAAGATGGATTGTCTGACTAACCAACCAGCCAACCGTATTTTTTTTTAATTTTTTTTTAACAGCTTTATTAGGAACTAAATATATTACATTAATAAGGTACAAATACAACAAACATGCAGTTCCTAAACGGGAAAATAGCGAACGGGCCATAATAGCCCATGCGAGGCTACCTCCCGATTTGACTTCTGTCGACATTTACAAATTTACATAAAATTACAAATTTAAAATCGTTGAAAGCACGTTTACACACATTCAGGCCAAAGTGATAGGACCTATGTTAAAATAATTCTTTGTAAGCCAGATAAAACGTCATTTGGTGGCATCAATCATAAAAGAGGTACCCCGACCGGTCGTAATGCGTAAACGTGCTTTAACTCCTGTGACAAGCACAATCTCTAACAATCATAATATGTTATCATAACGATGTTGGCAGAAACTCAGGTAAAAATCAGATAAAGTTCTAGCTTAAATTTTGACATTTTCAGATAAAATTTGCGTAATAAAGTCGATATTCTTTATACGAGATGCTTCGCTACGTCACTGGATGTTGGTAATGATGATGATGATAATATATATCACCCACCAATAAATTCTGTAAGAAGGAAAAATAAACAAAGAATAGAAGCAATTATCAATTTTCGCTTTGCTCTCTTCGTATTAGGTGATGTAGACCTGTTGTTATCATCTCCATATTTAGCACAAGGTGCGACGCTTTCTGATGCTGTTGTTCCATTCTCTTTTCCTGGTTCAGGCTCGCTCTGTATGGTGTCGTTCCTTGGATCACTTTGTATCGAGATTGGAGTGTGGTTATCCCTATTTAGTAATGGGATTGTTTCCTTGTTTGTATTCACGTCATTTACGGCTGAAGTTGACATCGTGTGATTGCTGATTTTAATAATATATCATGCCTAAAAGTATTTAAAAGCTCATTAATAATTTAAAAAAGACAAAAAAATCACTACAGTGTCGGCGATTTATTTCTGATAAAAAATCATGTTAATTTACATAAACTTTAGCTTTGATTTTCTTGACTTGTATACAACGTTGATTTTTAAAATTACTTCGCCAATGAATGCATAGGATGGGTCGTTTTTTAAGCCATTTAAAACACTCGCAGTCCGTGCTATATCAGACATTAAGATACTCGGCTGTCGCCTCGTGTTCTATATCTGATAAAGCACTCCTGGGGCCGGTTGTTCAAAACTGGGTTAGTTTAACCCTTGGTTAACCTAAAATTCGAAGCAAACTTCCTGAGCAGCTTGTCTATAGATTTGGAAATATTTCTTCAGAGATATTGTCTGGATCGATAGGAGTTTACTTCTCTGAAGTTTTGAAATACACAGATGTGCAGAAATACACAAACTAAAACAGCAGGTTAAATTTTAATCCAGGGTTAGCGTTAACCCACTTTTGAACAACTGGCCTCAGCCCGTGTTAATAAGAAAGCTCACTAAAATTTATAAAACTACGTTTTAAAACAAAACAATAGTAGACATTAAAAACAGCAAAAGCGAGTTAGATAAGAGATTGACAAGTGTTTTAAATAAGTTTGATTACTCCTTAGTGCGCTTTCCATTTAATGGCCTGACCGGTCAGACCCGAATTTTTGTCTCTGTATCAATGGAAAGATCTTGTCTATGTTTCTCAAATATCTAGCGAAAATGGACCTCATTCTTATGTTATCAAAATTTTATGATCAGATGGGTCCAAAGCCCAAACGTTTTGTGTTTCATTCAACAATTTGACCGTTCTGGCCGCCCTATTTTAATTAAACAGACACAACACTGGTCCTCCTTGTATTTTTCAGGTAGCTGTATCCCTATCAATGCGAAGCTTTCTTATTTCTGCCACTACCTGCAGTCCTACACTCCTTCAGATCGTTCAAGATAAAATCTGAAACTATGAACTACAGGTTGAAAAGATGTCGCCTGATTTAAAATAGAGGCAAGAAATGAAACAAAACTTGTCCATGTTGTCTTTTGAACGTTAAAATTTCGCGTGTTTTGAATGACCGTGGCGCGAAGGGCAAAGCAACAGGATGTCAAAAGGAAGTCCAATATCACGAGATCTTCGCGCATGCTCGCTAGTAAAGCGTTTGTTTGCGCTCGGCATGTGATTTCTCCACTGATGGATTTCTCCCTCAGCATAGAATCAATAGAAACCACTGCTATCTATATACAAGCCAACTACATATAATGAAAAGAATGAACAACCCTTCCTCACTCTGATAATTAATAATAATAATAATAATTTAATAATTGCGGAGTAACTACCATCGGCTACAAGTCAAACCACCATCGGCGCATGCCCGACTTGACAGTTGCTTTGAATTGTGACAATTTTCCACTTCAACCGTATCGCAACGTATCGTAGCATTTTCTTTTGTATCGAAGTCATTAGTTGTACTTTAGTGCTCCGAAAACTAATACGCTACGTTTCGGTATCGTACGTACGTACGATTGAAGTGGAAAACGTTCTTTCACGTGCCGTGCTTCACATGTGCGGATGTGTCCAATTCAATGAAATGAAGTGTAGCACTTGGGTGAACACGCTAGTACAGCAGTTGATTCATACGCTTTGCTAGGGGTAGTTGCGTTAAAACGTGGTGTGTTTTTCAAAAACTAAACCATTTTCATACCATGACATTACAGTCTGAATCAGTTGCCGCGCCTCAATATCGCAGACAAGGGGAGTAATTTATGAAATCATTAGTTCCACTCTAGTGATCAGGGAACAACGAATCAAATACGATACGCTTCAATATGGTTACACAGTAGATTACATGGGTAGAAAACGGCGATGTGGCAAACATGTCGAATTTAATCTTTTCGCCATATTTAATAAGTTGCCAAACATGCTTCGTCGAACTATTGTAGCGCATGACACGTGAAAGCACGACGTATGAAACGACCGCCTCGGCTACATATCAGAACCTCGATTAGAAACAATGCCCTTTCCAATTTCCATATACACCATGTACGCAAAATGATACGACCATAATTCATAAACTAGCACAATATTAAAAACTAAATTCGTTGAGAAGAAATCACAATATACTCACAAGTACACAAATGGTAACTTTTCGATTTTATGTACTGAGAATGAAACATGGAAGTGTCTGATGCGGTGTTGTCGAGTTTATCCCTAGGTTGGGTCTGTTAATGACTTCTTCGCGTTAAATATGATAATTACCAATCGTTTGAGCACAGAAGGTGTGTACGTTACACATCAAATGGTGAAACAGATCGATACACGCTAGTCATGCGTTCTAGATTTCTATAATTATAAGAATTTACCAGTGTTAAATTACCTCGTTCTAAATGATAGTTCCTGTGTTTTCACACGTGATGTTCTGGGTTTTAAAAGAGATTAGGTTTCATCAGAGGTAATAGAGATATGGTCTGCATACTCAGTAAACTTCACAGCGTCAAAAATGAGAGCTTTATCCGTGCGCAACTCTTTTGAAATGTAGCATATTAATATTGCAACATGGTTGGGTGATTCCAACCATGAATGGTTGAATGATCGCTTTATTATGTGCAAAATACATTCTCTGCACCGTGCATCCGTTTGGACAAAAAGATGGAACAAAGACTTTGGCAGAGCTTTCAAACCATATCTTGACTGATATAGACTACACAAGTAAAAAGGCACATCTTGTTACAGATCTACAAACAAGTTGTAACAAGCTTGTTGTGAAGCCGATATCAGGATGTGTTCGCGTGCTTTGTTCCCAGTAAATTGTTGTGACAAGTCTGGAACAAGTTGTTATCATCTTGTTACAAGGTTGATGACGGTAACAGACTTGCTACAAGTTGTCTCAACAACACTAATACAGGCTGTTCGTAACAAATTGCCACGAACTTGTTGTCATCAACTTGTTACGTGCAGACGATGTCAGACTTGTTGGAACAACTTGTTGCGAGTCCGTTGGCCTCATCTATCTTGTTACATGATGATAACGACTTGTTCCAGACTTTTTCAACAACTGGGAACAAGCAGTGCGAACACATCTTGTTGACAAGTTGTGAGATTTTTACGTGTGTAGTTCGGCAGTTTCATATATGCATGTTTATTTGACGCAATGTCCGGCAATGAAGTCTATTGACCTTCTGCACTTGTTCAGCCGTGGTAAAAAAAAATATAAAAGATTTTTTTCCTCTACGAAGAACGGTTCTTTTCATGCCATGGTTGAAGTCATTTTAATTAAGATGAACTGCAAGCGGTCTATACACCCGCCAAGTTCAGAGGAAAGAAATGCTTGACAGTCTCACAGCTTGGTTCTCTTACACAGGAGATTTATGTCACCTTATTTATACACGGGAAATGCATTGAGGTAATTTATCTTTGGTTATGGACAAGTGAAAATGGGGTGGTTTTTTTTATGCCAGAAATCAAAATATAATACCGAACACACAATATCAAAGGCACTAAAGTAACAAAGTAACTGTCAAGTATTTTTGCAATATTCAATAAGCACTTGAAACGATTTGTCGGTCGCTCCCTGCAGCCCAGACATAGGCTTTCTATTTTGAAATCTTTCTAGTTGAAACGTTTTTAAACCCACACAGAACCTGGTTCGTCTGTGGTATGCCTACTTGGAAACAATCAACTTTTACAACAGCACAGGGGTTTGGCGACACACGCTGGTGTGAGAATGTGCCTTTGATATCTGTGGCCGAGGTTTGATTTTTGCTTTTCAGTTTCTCATTATAATTTCACCTCAGACAGTCACATGTGAGAAGAGTGCGTCCAGTTTGACTCTACCAAACACCACATTCAGTAAAGGCCTGATACTATGACGGCGAAATTATGTCTGCGAAATATGTATAGTTGCACATGAACGATTCTATCGGAATTCTGTCGCTTTGTTCGCAGCGAGTACAACTGACTTCAACTCACACTGGCGAAGTGAAATTTTTTCCCGCGAAACCTAATTTATTGTCACTGCCCATGCACGAATTTATTTCGAATCAGTTTCGCATTTCGCCGAGAAAAAGCGCTCGTGAAATGAGAGTCATCAGACCTTCACAGATGGTCTATATAGCCGGCTTGCAAAAACTTGCACTCATGCATGACATTTGAAGAACAACTTGAAACTGAACGGCTGCTCACTCGAGGGAATAATCAATTCTAGTTCCTTGCAATGTAAGCATTTTTACTACGGTTTAATAAGTGTATAATTGACCACCCAGTTAAGTTTCGCCCAAAGGTGAACGACTGATAACGTTACTTACAGTCAGTGACACCACGCTCGTTTTCCAACATCCACTCACTTTATGAGATCAAATTCACATCAAATAGACATCAGAGCCAGAGGTACTGGGGACGAAGGTCGACGAACATCACATCGCGCTTCTAAAGCCCGTTCTCCACTAGGCGAATTTATTCGCGCGAACAGATAAAAAGTAGGAAGCGATCCTACTTTTTCGCCGCGAATTTTTTCGCCGACCAATCACGTTGCCGGATTTCGGTTTTCGCTTCGCGTCGCGCGAAAAAATTCGCCTAGTGGAAAACGGCCTTAAGAATAAGTATATAATACATATATACTTCCTATATACCTAATTTTATAATACATCAAAAACTGTAACTTCATGTTATTATACTTTAATTTATTGCACATAAATAGTTCATTTGTAAATAGAATGAAGACATTTATAAACCAATAGCATAAATAATTACTTAACCCAAAATAAATAGTTTTATCTTACATTATGTAATTATTAAATAATAATGTGCATAAAATACGACATTAGACAAACTATCACGAAACTATCAGACACGATTTGTTCCCAGAACGTATTGCCAGTACAGATCACGCTGCCAGTACAGATCACGCTGCCAGTACAGATCACGCTGCTAGTACAGATCACGCTGCTAGTACAGATCATGCACGCTGCTAGTACAGATCACGCTGCTATAAGGCTGGCAAATACAACGCAACATCAATCAAGACATCAATAGAAATCCCGCCAATTGTGCCACTAACATGTAAGCCCTAGGGTTAAATGAGAATGAGAGTTGACGAATTGTAACAAGGGACATTTCAAGCCCTAGAATAACAAAATAAAGGTTTGGCGAGTGTTCTAACTACGTTCTAATTTAAACATAATCCATGATAGTGTTGGGAAAGAACAGCTCACCAAGGTCGCGTGACTGTCAACTCTCATATGCACTTTCATCAATTATGTGTCGATAGTTTGGGGACCGCACATTTCATCGTATTTCTCGATCTGTATTGTGGAATGTTTTATATGATATACAGCTTCGACTATTTGCGTCGCTTCTGCCAAAATCCTCTGCGATTCACTTGGATTTTCTGAAGTATGAAAAAATACGTCAACATGTTGTCAATATCCCTTGTCGGTTACTACATGAGGAAAGCTTAGCTAACGTACCAATATCCACATGAGCAGAAAGCGCTGTAGTTCCCACAGTCAATGACCAAACATGAAGATCATGTAATGCCCTCACTCCTTCTATTTTTTCCAACCTCTCTTTGATCTCGTTCAAATCAATACCTTTCGGAGTGCCTAAAGAAATATCACTCAGTTAATTTTATACTGGATAGCTCTATCAGTTCTAAACTAAGAATCATCTCTTATTAATCCAGTGTTACTACAGGAGGAAACTTCACTAAACTAACTTTATTTAACCTGGATAGCTATATCAGTTCTAACTAAGGATCATCTCTTATTGATTCAGTGTTACCTAGCTAGTAGAGTCAAACTGAAAACGCTGTTTTAACATGAAACAAACAGTTCGGATGAAAAGATTTACCTTCCATTAAAACGAGCAAAGCGTCCCTCAACACTGTGATTGTCGTAAATAAGACGATGACGGAAAACACGAACGTACAAATTGGATCTGCGATAGACCAATTCGGCTAGAACAAAAGAAAATCTTCAGTAAAAATATTTCATGTTGGCCAGATCTAATGACTAAAGCCAAACTGCCAAATAGCTCGATCGTCAGATTGTTCGTCTGTCTATATTAAACCGTCTGTGCATACTTCACCACAAAAACAAGATGGTATGACAAACATTTTCTAGTTTGTATATTAACGTATTCTATGTTACCTTAAATTTGATTATTAAAGCGGCAATAAGAACACCCAAACTCTGACACAGATCCCCAATCACGTGAATAAATGCAGCTCGGACATTCACGTTCTCATCTGTGGCCTGTTCTTTAACACTGGGTGTCGCTGAGATAGTTCTCTTGCGATGGGAGTGACCATGCGAGCCGTGACTCCCACCATGCGAATGACCATGACCTAACACAAGACCCATCCTACAGAAAATACATGGTTTCACTAACCATATTCTTGTGACAGTTGATGATGGTCTAAAGTTATCGACATTTTTGGGCAAGGTTGCATTTTTTCGTAGCTGCTCATGGATATGTCTAAAATTGGTACGCAGGATGTCCACTCTTTGGTGAAGGTGAAATTCAAGGACTTTTCCACGACTTTCAAGGCCCTTTTTTCAGTGAATTCAAGGACCTAGAACTGGGAAAAATCTTTGAAAATAATAATAATAATAGACTTTATTTAAAGAAAGTATTACAAAAACCAGTTTAGCAAAGCTAATCTTACACTGGGCCTTCTATAACTACGACTATTAACAAACAAACAAACAAACAAACAAACAAACAAACAAACAAACAAACAAACAAACAAACAAACAAACAAACAAACAAACAAACAAACAAACAAACAAAAACAAACAAAAACAAACAAAAACAAACAAAAACAGACAAAAACAAACAAACAAACAAACAAACAAACAAACAAACAAACAAACAAACAAACAAACAAACAAACAAACAAACAAACAAACAAACAAACAAACAAACAAACAAACAAATATATTAGGTAACGTGGGGAAAAAGAAGATACAGGTATATGGAAAATGGCACAGATTTGACCAGCAAATAATTCAATGTTGGCACAGCTGGAGATTAAGGAAATTAATTCCAGGACTTTCAAGGACTTCTACTGATTTTCAAGGATTTTCCAGGATTTTCAAGGCCTGTGGACACCCTGTGTATATCATCTTCACACTTCAAATCTCCATGTACCAAACATCTTCATCTGTTAGTTCTGTTGACTTACACTATATTCACACAAACACCACAAGCAGCAACAATCAACATGATATCTGCATTAACATGGTGTTCACCACTAATGATTCGTTGAATTGCTTGATACACCAGAACACCAGTCAATACCCAGATGATCAATACTGACAATATAGCACCCATCACCTCTATAAATAGAACAGGTGAAGATGGTTAATTTATACACATCTTCGGCTGGTATAGGTTAGCATCACTAAGCAGTATCGTGCAGCAGATGGGGGTCAACTTGCAGTTATCAGAATGAGAAAATAATGTTCATTCTTTTCATTATATGTAGTAGTCTTGTATTTGGAAGCAAATAAATAGAATTGAGAGATGTTTGATTGCTACTGTAAGTGTCAAGATTTCTGAAGCTGACCCATGTGATATACTATGCCCTTGCTTCTCAATAAATGAACTTACCAGCTCTATGCCAGCCATAAGATAATTTCGACGTGGACGGCCGTGTCGCAAACCAAATTGCCAACAATGAAATGAGAAAACTGGCAAAATCAGAAAGAAGATGGGCAGCATCTGTGATGATTGCTAAACTGTTGGCCAAGTAACCTCCTAGAACGAGAGAAAACACTTTTAAGATGGAGTATGAAATCACATGAGTGACTGGAAAATCATGGAAAAAGCTTAATAACATGCAAATCAGGAAAATTTAATTTGTGCATGTGGATAAAACATCTCATTAAGCATTGATTTCTTGAAATAATTCATTAAATTATTAATTAGTTAGACAAGATAATATGCTGTATACCCACCAACAAATTCTCCAACCAGGAAAAATACACAAATCACACAAGCAATGATCAATTTTCTCCTGGCTCTCCTGGTATTGTGTATTGTAGACTTTGTGAGATCCTCTTCATTTCCATACTTAGCACAAGGTGTGACACTCTCTGTTGTTGATGTTCCTGGGTAATTTCTTGAATCACTTCGTATCGTGATTGGAGGGGACTCGTGAATATCACTATTCAGTAATGGTGTTTTTTCAGAATTTATATTTTCAGGTGAAGTTGACATAGCGGTTGCTGGTACATTATATCACACCTAAAAAAATATGATATAGTACAATATTGGTTGGGTGTCAGTTAAGTGTTAGACCCCCCCCCCCCCCCCCCCCTCCAATCAGTATAAAATTTGAATCTATTTGGATGGAAAAAACTCACTAAACTGTAAAATAAGTTAATTTACAACTTTTCATTATTGCTTCTCATTCTTGAGATATTGTAGTTTGTTTGATATGCAAATGATGATCTGCTGGTGCAAGTACAATACAAATTGTCCGATATTTAAGCTATATCAGAACAATGATACCTATATTTTATAATTTATATACAACACTATACACAAAATGCATGAGCATAATTCATAAACTAGCACTATATTAAACAAAATTCGTTCAGAAGAAATCACAATATACTTACAAATTTTGCAACCCTTGACAAAAGAGAAATTTTTTATACTTTCGTCTTTATACAGTATTGACACAAGACAACTGAATTTATTCCTTTTAATGTTTTCTTCGTTGTTAAATTTGATAAAATTAACCGTTTGTGTATGAAAAATATGCGTTTCACACTTCAAATTGACGAACAGATAGGCTAATACACATTTTACACACGTTTTGTTTTTGTTTTGAAATTTGAAACACTTCCTCCCGCCTGATCGCAGGTTAACTTCCGGAAAGGTTTTCCGCCATCCAGCTAATAATTTATAGATCAGAGCCAGATGTATCAAAGCTCCAGTTTGAATAATGAGGTCAGTGCCGAAAATGTTCAGCATCAGTATTTAGAGATCAGTGCCAACTTGCCTAGCAACGGGCGACGCCATTTGGAGAAAAACACAGCACAATTTTGAAAAATGGCCACATTTAGCCGGTCAAAAACAAAGCGATCTAGTAAGTTTATTTACATTTTCCATGCTTAGAAACAAGGTTACATTACTGATATTTTTGCTCTGGGTTTTTTCCTTCTTTTGCTAGCTTCGCCTTTGCGAAAGAGCGCCCCTGGTTCATTGCTCAAGTCTAGTAGCAGAGATCTTAGAACTTCTTCAAGCCGTGGCCTCGCTGCATCGTTTGATACGAGCAGAAAGTAGGTGTATTTATGCTTCATGTTTTCCAGTATTGCTGTAGGTTTTAAGGACATGTTTATAGTAAAAAATCATGCATAAATATGGTAGTTAAACTGCATTAAAACATGTAAATATTATTGAATATAATTAAAGATTGAATCGGATTAATGTAGTTGCATTCTTCATAATTTATAAACAAACAGATTTTGTCCTGAATTGTTGACTTGCTCCATGAAGGGGAAATCAAGCTTGCAAAATAAAAAGTGTTTCATGTTAGGCCTTTGAGTCACATCCAGCTGCTATATCTTACCTGTTCAAGTTCTGTTTACTCTAGTTTTTCTGTATTTTTTTACATTTCATGTACCAGGATGGGGCTGTCAACTGGAGAACTGTCAAAAATTGAGAATGAATATATCAGAAACCTACAACAACAGATATATTTTCTTGAACTGGAGGCAAATTATTTGTATCCTAGCTTTGATAATTTAGGCCATGGTATGGTGTGATATGGGGTTTTATGGTGTGATAGCTAGGTATGGTGAATGATAGGATGTGATCTGGTACGGTACGGTATGGTACGATGTGATCTGGTATGGTGAGTGATATGGCATTATCTGGTATGGTGTGATATGTTATGGTAAGTGATATGGTATGGTATAGTGTGGTATATGATATGGTGAATGATATGGTATGTGGTATGTGATATGGTAGTGTGGTATGGTGAGTGATTAATGGTGTACTATAGTGTGTTCAATGTGATGTTGTGGTATGATGTGATATGGTGTCGAATAATATGGTATGGTATGGCATAATCAGTATGGTATAATCAGATATGGTATGTGGTATGGTCAAGTATGGTATGGTATGACAGAAATGGTCCAGCAATTTCCTTGACCATTGAAAACCAGGAGAGATCAAGCAAAAAAGGCAACAGTAATTCCACCTCGTGTGACTGAAGAGGCTGAAAAAATGATGAGAAAACTCAGGGTAAAAAAATTTTATACTCTCAAATATCACTCACTTAACCCTCGCTATGATGCAAGCACAAGCGGGATCAAATGTGTTGATTTTTTATGTACTGACACAAGTATAAGAACATCAAAGCATTAATTCTGCTTGTGTCATAGTGATGACTTGTAATCTACTAATTTTAATATCTTACAACCATAGACACTTCAAAGTGAGCTGGACAACCGCATCACAGATCTTGCAAAGCAGGAATCTGCCATTCGAGTTTTGGAAGATGAACGCGAGACTGCGATAAGGAAGCTGCGAGATGCTGAAGGTGAATTAAACTATTTAATTATTGCCTCCAAATTGAAATTAATTGAGAGTATTTGTTTTACTCAAGCCAATCGCTTTTAATTAATATATTGGGGGAGCACCACCCACCTTTAGCCTTGTGTTATTTTTTGTTAAATAATATCTATCTATAGGGGGGGGGGCACCACCCACCTTTTCCTTGGCTGAGTTGGGGGGTGCACCCCACCTTTAGCCAGTTGGCTGAGTTGATAAATACCCCCCTGCCCCCTGGTAAATCTGGCTGGATGCATCTTTGCCAATAAGTTGACATCCATGTGTAGCACCAAAACTGAAAACCATTTCAAAATTTCAGAAACCCACGCTCATGAAAAGAAACAGTTAGTGAATGAGTTAGTCTCATTAAAGAAATGCAAAGACAGTTCGGAAAGGGAAAGTTCACGACGTGAAGTTCATGTTAAACAAGTGGAAACAGAAGCGAACAAAGGATTAGATGCATTACGTGAAGCTGAAGAAAGAATAGCAATGTTGAGAACACAGGTTCAATTATGTCATAAATGAAAGCATTACAAGGTCACCCCCACCAC